TAGTTCTGAGAGATCTGTAGCCAATCAACTTGCAGCTTTTCCGTAAGAGATGCAAGTTGATTGGCTACACATTTTTCAAAACTAGAACTTAAACACAGTTCTTGGATCGTGGACACAAGGCTTAAGAGATGCAAGTTGATTGGCAAAACATTTCTCAAAACTAGAACTTGGACCAAGTCCTAGTCTCATGGACACAGGCCTTAATACCGGGAAACGTGTGGCCAATCAACGTGCAGCTTTTATGGCAGAAAGGCTCGCGCTACCGCGCATGCGCTAGAATTCTCACAAACTGGGATCACAGCGAGCGACTTCCCTTTCCTGTAGGAGTCTCCTAGTGGCATCCCATAACGTGAGTTTCATCGCAATTCTTTTTCACATTTCTACAAATTTCGGGTAGCTAATGCAAATCAGACGGACACGCTCGAGACACGAGTTTTTCCGAAATACAATAAAATATGAAATATGCTTTACCGATTACAATTGTTTGCAATTGGCTTGGAAATGGTGTGTCCGGTGCACGTGGCACGCGCTGTAATCTTAGACGCGTGGGGGACTAATTTTTGGATTACGCGAGTTCAGGCGGTAGAAAGGCTGGGTTATTAAGTAAATTTTAGACGAACGCCTTGCATAAATCAAATGTTAGAGCGGCGTATATTACTTTCGGTTTTGAGGTTACATTCTCCTCCCGTCGCAACGAGTAAAAAATATATATCTCGTTTATTGGCGAATTCGATGCGAACAACGGAATCGTTTATTTTCTCATAAATTTTTAAGTCTTCAGATATAATTCCGAATTATTTAAAAGTCGTCACGTCTTTCGCGAGAACTTGTACAGGCTTTAGAATTCGGGGAAAAGCTCGTGCGTTTTATTTGTAAAATTGATCAGTGACGAGATTACACTTGGCTCTTGTACCAATTGCGAAGGGAGCTCTTTAGAGATACGCTGTTAAATGCAGCGGTACATTCCTCCCGGGTGATAAGTTGAAACTCCGTTTTTCAGGTTGACTCGTAATTCAACCGCAACGTTAAAATGTCAGGAGGTCTGGACGTGTTGGCCCTCAAGGAGGACGACGTGACGAAAATGTTGGCCGCCGGCACCCACTTGGGTGCCGAAAACGTCAACTTTCAGATGGAGCAGTATGTCTACAAAAAGAGAGTCGATGGCAAGTAGTCCGTACATGTCTCAGACTGCAGTCCACCTGATGCTGCAAATTAGACACTCTATTGATCTTCTTCAGAAGGCATTAAGGCATGTGCCTACCATGTCCAAGTTCTAGTTCCGAGAAATGTGTAGCCAATCAACATGCGTCTTTTATGGGATAGCTGCAAGTTCGCTGGCTACACATTTCTCGGAACTACAACCTGGACTAAGTTAACAAGAAGATGTTGTAAATGCTTCAAAGCGTTTCCCCTTCTTAAAAAATAAGAGAGAGAGAGAAATGCACTTGCACCATCAGACCGTAGGCTTGAACGCAATTTGTTGACATACGCCATGATCCTCATGTCCATTCCTGGCGCAATTTTCAGGCGCTGGTGTAAACGTCATCAATCTCCGACACACCTGGGAGAAGCTGCTGCTCGCAGCTCGCGCCATCGTCGCCATTGAGCACCCCAGCGAGGTCTTCGTCATCAGCTGCCGCCACTCGGGCCAGAGAGCCGTGCTGAAGTTTGCGGCTCACACCGGCGCCACCCCCATCGCCGGGCGCTTCACCCCGGGTGCGTTCACCAATCAGATCCAGGTGAGAAGGACAACGAGCGTCCCGTTCAACTTAATTTCACAGCACCGAAGGTTCAAGTGATGAAACATTTCATTCCAGAATCGGCACTTGTTGGTTTCTTAGGCTTAATCTTTTCTGATTGCGTTTCGACGACGTGGGCCACGACGACGAACGATTAGCCGAGTGCGGTGTAACGGTCAGCTTTTGTTTGCAGGCCGCGTTCCGTGAACCGCGCTTGCTGATCGTCACGGACCCGTCCACCGACCATCAGCCCATCACCGAGGCGAGCTACGTGAATATTCCAGTTATCGCATTCTGCAACACCGACTCGCCGCTGCGCTTCGTGGACATAGCCATTCCGTGCAACACCAAGAGTCTGCACACAGTCGGCTTGATGTGGTGGCTGCTCGCCAGGGAGGTGCTGCGCCTGAGGGGATCTATCCCGCGCGAGACCAAGTGGGACGTGGTGGTCGATCTCTTCTTCTACCGAGATCCCGAAGAGGTCCGTGCAATCTTCTCTCGTCCTTTTAATTTTCCCCGCGCCGTTCTCCGCGCTAAGTTTGTCGCGATGATGAAAGAATCGGATCCAGAAACAAATCTGTTGGTTTTCACGGCTTAATCTTTTCTGACAACGATGGAACGAGCGTTCCACGACGCGGGTGCATCACTGCGAGATCGATAACGGGCTGCGAAACGTCTTCTTTCCAGGCGGAGAAGGAGGAACAGGCCGCGAAGGAGATCGCGCCGGTGGTGAAGGAGTTCACGGGTCCGGTGGAGACCGCTCCTGCTCCGGAACCCGGCTGGGTGAACGAGGTCGAGCCGGCGGCTGCCGTGACCACCGAGAACTGGGCCGATGACGTAGCACCGCCGGCAGCAGCTCCTGTTCCTGCTGCACCCACCGCCCCCGCGCCGGCGTTCCAAGCCAGCGGTGATTGGGCTGCCCAGGTGAGACGCTCGCATCAAAGTTTATTTAATTTAATCGATCGATTGCTTCTCTCCGATTTGTATTATTTTATATTATTTGTGTGTTTATTTAACATATTCCAAATGTTGTGAAGGCTCCCATAAAGAAAATCTGTAGAAAGGAGAGTGCCAATGTGAGCCACAAAATGAACGGAACTCTGGTCTCACAATATAGAAACAAAAATTTCTCTTTAATAGCATGACCCTTCTTCGAGTCTTCCTCAGTAAAACTCGTTTAAATCGAATAAAGCATATCTTAGGGGCTCAGAGCACTATGTGACTTCAGAATCATTCCTCTATCCGCGTTAATATCAGTGAATCTCCAAATGGTCCCAGACATAAAGAGGACTGAATGATTTATTTAACATATTCACCGGTGCTTATGTATATATCACGTATGTGTTAAACAGGACGATGATAAATTACACGTAATTATATTTATCGACGTACGGATTATTAATATTGTCTTATTGTACGTAGCCCCCAGAGGAGTGGACGACACCAGTGGCAGCTCCCGCCACGCAAAGCTGGGGAGGTGCGAGCAGCGAGAAGTGGTAATCTTGTTGCTTACCGATATCTCGAGGACAACATACACTTTGTACAATGTAACAAAACCCTTTGAGACAAAGCTGTTTTGTTCTTTTCTTATTTGATCCCGTCTCAGTACCCTGTATCCACTCACAATTTCCTACGACATTGTACTATATACCCAAAATTTGTGCGCACGGAATGTACGCAAGCCTAGAATCGAAAGAGGTAAAATGTTTTTCCGCGGGAAAATTTCTTTCGAGCAATTTTAAGTTAATGGACAAGACTCCAAAGCTCGTGAATTATACGTGCACACTGAACACGAGAGCTTTAAAAACAATAGTAAAATTGTGTATCCTAGCACACTGATTCACACTTTGAACGTTCGTTTTGAAGTTATTTCACTAGAATAAAACTGCTTTTCTGGCACATAGGATTACACTGCACGTCGTGTGCGCGAATTCTGTATACTCGAAATTTTAAAACTATTCCATTAGGGCTAAAAAATTAAAGTATTCTGGATTCGTAAACTTAGTAGAGTAACAAAATTACCTTTTTTTTAAAAAAGGTATAAAAAGCTACGTGTATACTTGGCGCGAGACACTTACGTGCTTCTTGATTAGTTAACACATCCAGAAAAACCATCTTGCGTAGACTAATTTTATTACACCTTACATAACATCAAATAGTTATTAAACATTTATCAGTTCTTGAGATCTAAACGTTTACATTTTCGAGGATGAAATATGGTAATGTTGAATATCGAAAATAGGGGAATCTCACATTTGAGTAATGGAAGACTAACTAAAATATTGATATAGGAATTTCTTGCTGCAATAATCAGATTTCGAGATAAACCTCCACTTAAAATTAATTTGTCATCGATGAAAGACGTTAACTTCTTAAGAAAAAGCTTATCTTTTTGAAAATAACTGCGAGTCGCATTCAAATGTAGACAAAAATGTTTATATTCTTTCGAATGCGATTAGATACTTTTTTCATGAATTTGACTAAACTTAAATGAAACTGTAACTGCACTTAGAAGTGTATTATATATAGAAGTTTATCATCGATATCGTCAACATTCCTTACAAATGTAATTAAAACTAAAATACGAATTTAAAAATCTATTAGAAATAGATTTTATACATCGATTTACATTGTACACTGAAATCGGAAGAAATACAGTTTATAAACATAACTTTGGTGTACAAAAAGTAAAACTAAAATTCCTACTAAATTGGATTGGTAACATAATTGTGTTCGACATTGCAAATCTGAGGTATGGAAGTACTTCTCCTTTTCTGTCTAATTATCCTCTCTCGTTCACTTGAACGCAAAAGAGCACTCCGAAATTTCGGATTTACAATTCCAAATGTAGCTAATAACACCAGTTTAGACATCGTACCGTGTCCAAACGAAAGAAAAGAAGACCTCGGAAATCAATGATTACAATGACTACAAGAGGTAACAAAACAGCACTTATTGGAATGGCTAAGTACTCATATCACATCCAGCATTACTGTAGACTATTCGATGCGATGAAACCCTAATGACTGCAGTACTTAATATTATACGAAAATTAAATGATTTTTATATAATAATTCAACATAGTTACAATGAAGAAACCTTAAAAAGTAGAGAAGTCAGGGCGCTAAAATAGCTACCAATAGATTCCAATTACCCACAACTCAAAGTGCTTCTTTCAGCTTTTCTCTAAATAACGTTCCATATTAATATTAAAGCTCCTGCTGTAACTGTTCTTGTTTAATAACATAAAAAGTGAGAAACAACACACTGAAAATTTACGCGATTGCACATAACTAAGGCCGGTATATTCAGTTTTATATTCAAGACAGTTTTAAGATCATCTTTGGGTACTCCCCCTAGTAGCACAGTGCATCGAACAAACATTAGTTAAACATTGGCCCAATACTTGGTTGTGTTGAGCCAACGTTTAGCCGATGCACTAGGGTCAATAGTCAACAAAATGTTCCATAAAACATCTTTAAGTAAATTTAAAATAAAGAAAAGGGTAATTTTCGGACAATTTTATAAGTGTGCTAAAGTAATCTCAAGTCTTTTTTTCGTCCAAATATCTTTTTTATTTAAAAATTAACACAAGAATTCTCAACGTCATTTCGTGTTTCTAACATCATTAAACAAGGACAATTGCGGAACAGACTAGGAACCTTAATCATTTGACATTTGCACCAAATGTTTCATATTAATGTTAATATAAAAAATTATTTATTGTAAAATATTTCACTTTCAGTGTACTTGACTGTAAATTATCTCAAAGCAGCATTATTTTAGAAGCAATGAAAGTATCACATCATTCAGTTTTTCTCTTTGAGTTTCAACTGTAGTTCCTTTGAGATTTTAATAATCTTAAAAATAAAACCTTCATTCTCGTAATTAAACTATCTCAAATGTAGCATTAACAAAGGCAAAATGAAAGATATTGTGTACAAGACCAGGGGGAAAAAAGAATGAAATAATGTAGTATTACAAAGTAAAAAAACAGCAAATTATAAAAAGTACAACGTGTTTTGAAGTTGCGTATCCGGCGCCCGGTGAATAAACTTACTGACCAGGAACGCCAGCTTGTGAGCGTAGTGGCAGGGCGCCGGTACTCGAACGGTATTTGAGCAATTGTAGTATGCGTGGGTTAATTTGTATGTCAAACGTTGTATCTTGTCGGGATCTAAACCGAGCGTGTCGTAAATGACGTTGTACGAGGTAGGCGTTACCGTGCCCTGCCGCACCTGCTGCGACACTATGAAGAAATCATATTTGATCGGGCTCGTGATTACGTCGTCAACTATCGTGCCCGTCTCCGGATTGTAGTTTCCACGGAAGAATCGTGTGTTCAGCCGTTTCGTCACGATTATGAAGGCCATCTTGTATTTCGGGCCGCCATACATCTCGTTGAGCCTCTTCGTTATTTGTAAAACTTCGCGATCCATAACTTGCGCGATCTGGCCCTCGCCGACACCATCGCGATAAATCACAATGTGACTTGGCAGACGATTGTTAGTCGCTTGGTACGTCAGTGCGGCCTTGCAGATGTTGTCGCAAAGATCACTCGACAGTTCCTCGCCGGTGTTGTGCACGCTTACCGCGCTGAAGTACTTCGTCATTTGTCTGTTCAAAGTAGCAACTGTAGCGCCTGCAACAACAAATCACAATGAACACGATTAACCAGGAGACCTAGACAAAATCGAGAGGATTCGACAATGATTTTTTAAAACACATATGCATATTAAAAAAGGATTTGCATCTTCGTTCTTTAATTATTTCTGCGTAATTTTTCCTCTCAAATATATATAGTCCACAAGCTAAGAAACAGAGTGCAGCACCATTAAAATACGTTGACAAAAATCGACAGTTAACTTAGAATTTGAAGATCAGTTAAAAAAAAAAGACTACAATTACATTATTCCATTTTTTGCACAAGATTGTAAATCTAAAGAATTCTAATACCCACCGAAATCCTTGTTTTTCATCGTTGTGTCGTGGCAAACATCAAATCCAATCATCATCATTCCGTCCAAGGGAATATCCACAAACCACGGTGCCCCGCCCAATTTGCAGCTCATCTGTATCGCTATTTTTGTGGCGATAGACATGATATTCTTGTGCGTCATTGTTCTAAACAAGCAGACCTGCGATGGCACAGGCCGGTCGACACAGCACTTCTTCTTGATCGCGGAGTAGCGATCGCTGCGATTGTTCGATACTAAGCAAAACACCAATTGTGGTACTTGCTTGCTCAGTACTCGTTCCAACATCTCGCTATACGTGCCCGGTCTATCATCGCGGATAGTTTGTATGTCCGGACGCGACATTTGAAATGAAAGCCCTGATGATACTTTTATTAGAGTTTTTATAAAATCCTGAAATAAAATATCAATTATAATAAGAGCTTAATATTTAATCGATATATTGTTTAATACGAGTTCGAAATATTGTGTATGACTGATCACAAACATTGATTTGCGAGATCAACATTTTTCCAAAATTACTCTTTTAGTTACACGTATGTAACATAACACGCGCGCGCGCGAATTACATTTGTCAATTTATTTATACTTAGTAATTTATAACAATATTCAGCAAAGAATTGTACCTCCACACGAGCTCTATCCCTGTCGGTACACAAGAACACCCAATTATTCAATGGTGGAGCAATTACACATTTCTTATTACGTAATGTATTCGTCCAATCGCCTCTTTCGGGAGTAAGTACACTCTTGCTGTCAGAAGCAAAGTCGCCAGTATAGATTTTCTCGGGAGCTAACACTCGTGCGGGAATGTCGAGCAGCTTTTTATCCAACTGAAGATTCCAATGGTTCAACTCTTGCATAATTTCAGGTACTTGGCAAAGTCTTCTATTAAAATTCAACAATTTCTCGATACGCTTTCCAGGATCGAGACGCGTCTCTTGAGCCAAACTTGCCATAAGTTTGAAGTTTTCCCTCATTTCATCAGTCAAACCTGCAAAAGAGATAACATTTCTTCGCTGTTCAATTTAAAAACAATGAAAGAATAGCCAGGAAGAAATAAGGACAAATTTTGAAAAAGTTGCCAGTAAAACAGTAGTATTAACGTACCCGTTGCGCGACACAGCTCGGGTACTAAATAAACCCGGTTCGCCTCTTCAGCTTGTCGATCTTTTATTTTGGATCTTGATACAAGCATTGGCTGTTGAGGATCCGCAATCCTGATTCCATACTTTGATTGATAATACTCTATATACGATATTTCCTTGCCGTCTTTTAACCGAAACTTGCTGCTAGGATAAGTTGTAAAATCTACATCCTCGATACGGTATGTATTGTTGTTATAATCGGTGAGAACTACCGTACCAATCACAGTGTTAGCAAACATTTCCTGCACACACATACACACACACACGCATGTATATTTTCACAATGTAAGCAAGGAAACAAAAATATACTTATTACGAATAATTATAATAAAAATAAAAGTAAAACTAAAACATTTCATTTAAAGCTCTTATTTCCTCACTGCAGGAATACATTGTATTTGTATAGTAGAAAAAATTCACACAATTTCTTTCTTTAGCAGCTACTAGAGCTACTAGATAAAGGGGAGCTGACTCGTCCGCCATCTTGGAGCCCAAACGTTTGACTTCGGCTGCGGTCAAGCTGCCGCTGCAAACGCTTCGAAGCGTTTCTCCTCTCTTTCTGTTTTTACTGAAAGAAAAGAGAAGACGAATGCTTCGTAACATTCGAAGCGACAGCTTGACCGCAGCCTTCGACAAATGCATTTCGGCACAAGATATG